TGGTTATCTCTAGTAGCCACATTTCCTGGTCCAAAAAAAGAACACCCCTTAGCAAGTAAATGATTGATTGCCAATGGCCACATTCAAGTTATCTCCATGGTATAGGTTCATTAATTCAATATGGACTTAGCAAGCTTAAAAAATCTGCTATTTAGATCCGTTTTTCAATTGTATGAGCAAAGAAGATAAAGTTTGTGGGTCTTCCTTGATTTGTTATTGACCAACACAATGGTTAGCCCGACCTATTTAATTTTATTAATTTAAAAATTAATTTTATTACTTTAAGATTTTAATTTAAATTATTAAAAATGCATAAAATTAATTTTATTACCATAAAGTCAATTTAAAATAATTAATTAATTCAAATTTAACTAACCATAACTAACAAAAATAAAATTATTAATGAATTACTAAATTTTAATAAAATTTAAAATCCTTCTAAAAATAATATAAATTTATTTAACAATACATAAACTAAAAATCCATGGGTAGGACCAGATCTATCAATGGGTTGGATTAAGTTTCTTAATCAGTTATATAAAATAGACCTCAAAAACAGTACTTTTTCTAGTAACATTAATAACTCTTCTTAAAGGTGGTGAGAGTCAACAGTGGGGCTTGAAAATTGAAACCGCATCCTGCCTGGGACTATCCAGATTACGTGCCAACTGAGCCACCACTCAATTGGCTATGATAATAATTTGGAAGTTCATTTTTTGATAACAAATTATTTTATAGGCTTATTCTGTCTAAATTTTTCCTTTTGCACATTAATAAAAATAACAAAAAGTACAATAAAACGACACTATCTTTTATATATATATAATCAGTTCACATCTTATCAATTTTGGAACTGTGAAAACATATTCAACCCAATTATTAATCATAATAATACGTAACCCAAGGATAATATTTGGACTGGATTTGGTTTAACTTGGCACAATTAGAAATGTCAAAATTATTTTTGTTTGAATTTCATTTAACAAAGCACAGGTCCCAACTACTATATATGTACAAAGACATTACTGATGTGCCGTGTGAACAGAGTTTTTGCTTGCAGAATATCTGAGCTCAAACCAACCATCTAATGACAGGTGTACTGTGGTTGTACAGCATTTTGAACAATTACATTGGAAATCGGGACTGGGTGTTGGGACACTACAAGTCTGGTTGCTCAAAC